GGTGCCTGCTTCCCACCATCACTCCCCCATCCGCATGTCCCGCCTCTCACTGCGTCTTTCCCAGGCTTCAATACCCATCACCCGATAGCTTTCCTATTATTTCCATTTCCCACACTCCCAGTCAATTATGAGAGCTCTCTCACACACAGGTTATCGTCGCTTGTTTTTCGCAGGCCCACAATCACGAACAGACGATCAAAGTATCGACCATTGAGATCTTCGTGATGATTGAAGTCGCTGGTTAGGGTAACCGACTCTACGATCTACGTTGATCATTCATTCACGAAGATGTGCACGACACTTGATCTGCTCGTAGCCATCTAAAAAAATTTTGATCAACAAGACGAAAATATAAAAGTAATAATGAAATTAACAAGAAAAAATAAAATAACTAACAGGGCTTCCCATAATTAATTGTTCACACAGTATGGATGTTTTATTCTGAAAAAGGAATTTGTATGTGCATATTAATTACTTAAATGCGGTACGAATTTCGCGGAAACATTACACGAGAAAAAATTGTTTGTAAGTGATTAGAATTAGCATCATAATATTGCGTGAATCCAACAGCAACGTTTTTTGCCTAAAATTTGAATGATCGTTATATTGATTTTTAAATTATGATAAAAGAAAATCAATACATTGTAAATTATGCAAACCATTGCAACCTCTGTTTTGGGTCCGGAATATTTGTTGTTGTGTTATAGGAGCCTTGCGCAGCAAATATCTAGAGCGTGTACCGTGTATCCACAATACCTAAGGTATCGGGTTGAGTTTGTCTCGGGTGGGCCTCTCACGAGGCACCACGAAACGTGGTTTGATTTTATCAATTCAACTTTGATTTATTTTGTATAGTTATTTCCAAATTAAGTTTTAAAAACGTATCAAAGTTCTTGGAATTTCGAAACGGTGTTTAAAGCGGCTTGTTTTTTTAATAGAGCTTCTTAGTTAAATGAGGTTCAGAACGAGAATTTCTTTAATATTATGGCAAAGCCGGTGCAAGCGCCTTCACAAATGTATTATCAAGTCTTGCGAATGTCAGCTAACCCCAAAGGTTATTCGAGAAAGTATTTACAATGCCTGTTGTATTGTCAGCATGTAATCTGGATATCGGGTTTCATTTTTTAGGTGTTGAATCTCAAGGAACTTTAAATTGGATGGGAATAAGATTATTTTTTAGTACACAATTGGTAGCATTTACATCCAATTATTCGCTGCAAAAAGAAAACATTTACTCTAGGGTGAATTACTGCAATTTTTTTAAGTCGCATTTGAACAAGTAACTAGTGTATCATGATAAAAAAACATTCATGTTGATCGCCCGTTAAAGATCGAACAGATCATTTTGGTAAAGGGTTAGCGAAATCATAGGTATTACCTAGCCCAAACCGCGCCAGGGATATTAAAAAAAAACTTCCCAAATTTGAATGATAAATGTTTATATTTGCTATTTATTATAATACGCTCTTTGGGTGGCGATAAATCCACGGAGATTGAGACTACGCTTCAAAAATGGTGACTCGATAAGAGGTTATTTGTCATGTGTTGTGCAATACTCGGGCATCTATAACTGTTCTCTCTCATTTATATTCCCAGATACCACAGTTTCGGTAAAAATTTGGCGTTCATAACTCATATAGTAAATCATTTAGCTAGCATTTTCAAGGTTAATCCATATCTATACCAAAGCCCATTAAATCATCTACTATAAAGAATCATAATGATAATATAATGAATAAATCATCTACATAATTTGATGGAGGCATCATTGACAAAGTCAAAAATGCATGATAAAAAAATAGCTCATGCTCTTGACCGCCCGCAAACAAAAATGAGCTACAAATTTCGGCTAGATCTTATGCAGTGAATTTCTGTCAACATCAGGGTGCCTTTCTCAATAGGTTTATCCTCGGATAGCAGGAAAATTCATTTCATACAATGTAATTCATTCATACATTACCTTTGCAATAGAAAATTACGAAGGCTATGCCCGATCGAGTTGTCGATAAAGTTTTGTCTTAGTGGAAAATATCGCTTTAGAATCTCAGGCTATCCAATAATCGATATACTAATTGATAGATGAAGAGATAAAATGTGATGGTATCAATGATACAAAGCTCACAAAGTATCTCAAGGAAATTCGCAACGTATATCTAACGAGGTAGAAAACAACATTAACGTAGGAACAAACACCTGAGATACTACATATCTTCTTTTATAATATTTTTTTAGCAAATATATTCTATTCCATTAAAGAATAGAAGATGCTTGCTGTATGTGTGACAGGGGTGAGAGGGAAACTGTGGAGCATCCGGTAATGGAGTTGAAGCATATGAGAGAGAAAGACTGCAGTAGATGATGAAAGTGATACAGTATGATAAGAGTGAGGGCGATGGTGTGATGCATGAGAGAACCGGACATGATTGCATTGATTTTGGGTCTGTCAGTAGGGGTATATACTGCCATGACTGAGCTAGAGTAAAAAGCGAAACTTGGAGAGTGCATGCATGGAGAATGCGAGAGACGAGGAGCTTTGTGAGAATGAAGACCTGGAGAGTGTGAAGAAACAAGCAATAATAAAAAATAACAATTTAATACAAAATATTCATAATAATTATGTATGGATTGAGAGCTCCAAATATCCAAAATATAATTCAAAACTACTTTTCCTGGACCTTACTTCCCTCTGCCTGAAACTTACACTATAACACGAACTTTCCCACCCACCCGGTCTCTGCTCTAATATCGCTCTCACCTTACCAATTGCTTCCTCTTCTCCTACTATCATTAAAAAATGTAATGAGTGGCAAATAGCGATATAAATACCACACTATTGAATATTTATTTCAAGGTCACCACGCCCCAATTCCAAATTAAAATCCTCTGGCGACATTCCGTTCTGCCTAATAGTGCCTATCAATTAGAATGCTAAAATAACCACCACTACAAGTTTAATTTGGTCTTCACCCGCGTGCAAAAAAGATAGAAACCGATGCAAACTTGGATTCAAATTATACATGCCATTTAATGTGGAATATGATCTACTCCTCTTCTAAAATGAGGAGTAGATCATGGTTCTGGAGTATAATCTAAACGATGACGTCCTTAATTCGCGCATGCCATTCCACACCCATGATCTACTCCTCTTCTGAAATGAGGAGTAGATCATGGCTCTACACGATGACGTCCTTAATTCGCCAAATAGTTTTAATAATACGACACTCCAACAAAGTTTCCATTACCGCAGGTAATAAATTCGAACTAATTTTACGAAATAATTAAATTGTGTCTATCACGACAGGCTAATCTTATGTCTAGATTGTAACTAATAACGAAAATTTATCACGCTCAAATTGCCGTGCAATTATGATAGAATTTTTAAGTTACATATTAATGCCTGTATAATATGATCATAAATTACAGTTACGTCAACAATCTTCACTTTCTGTCATACATTAGAAAAAAAATGCATCCGCGCACAAACCGGACATATTCTTTCGTTTAAACTACCTCTGATTCAACCTGCGGTCACATACCTCAAAGAAGTTCATGTGAGAACATGGTCCAAAACATGGCCAGAGAAGCACGCGTAACAACAAGTGTCGTTTGTAACATATGGAATGAATCTGTTGCGAGTTACAGGGTGCGATAAAAAGATAAAATATTTCGTGTATAACACGATGACCGTGTAGTACGGCCTGAGAGTGTATAACAGCGTGCAAAATTGGATATTTTAGGCCGGAAACAGACATGGAAGCAACTTCTATGCTATTGAGCCGTATAATGATAGATTAGAATGAATTAAGCTCACGAATATATTTTTTTTAGCTATCTCTGGATGGCCAATAGAATATGCATAGCTAGATAAATATATGAATATTACACAAAACTATACTTAAAAGTTGAACAAACTGCTCTGCCAATCAAACACGCAAAAAGTATCTTCTCATTTCGAGAAGGGGCTATAGGTGACAAGTCGCAAAAATGTCCGACTGGTCGCAGTTGCTCACTTGCAACCAAAAATTAGTTTGAATTGGTCAATGAACATTGAATTCAGCAGAAATTAAATGTGTTACTGCTTATGTTGCAGTACGCTAGTTCGAATTCTTCTTTTTGTACGCTAGTTCGGTGGGCACGGAGCTTTGCGATACGCGCGTAGCGCCACAGACCTTTCCCTGGCCCCTTGTAAAGAAAGCTCTGTAGCGGGACCCATTGCTTGCTGTGGCCTATATTTATGTGTTNAATTAAAAAAACTTCGCTGCAACTTGTCCACGCGACAACATTTCTTCTCGCTTCGAATCACCGACATGTGGAACAGCCTCCCTGATTACATCGTCGGCGCTCCGAGTATGAACGCGTTCAAGAACAGACTAGATAAAGCTATGGAAAAATATATGTTCTGATATGAAATGCCTAGCACCATATCGAACGCGGTGGAAGTCTAGTAGCTACTTCAACCTATCTTCAGTCTGGAAAATATCCGATCAAATGACAAGATTTAGATCTTCTATGAACAAGTCACGAAAAGTTCAAGATTCGGCGACAGGCCACATCAGGCCTGCTCTTTAGCGCCGACATCACTATGATATGTTATGCATCACATCACCACCCTGCCCAGTGGTGGGCAGGGTGGCCCAATGGTGAAAGTTTAGAGTACCAAGATTGGAGCTGAGAGGCGCTGGTTCGGTCCCAGCTCTGTGCGCCGGGATGTTCTGCGATGTTAAGAATCGGCGACAGGCCTACGGCCTATTAAACGCTGAAACCTCTATTTATTTAATTATTTATTTATTTACTATTATATGAATAGAATATCTTGGAGGAGATTTGTCATCAAGGAAAACCTCATTTTGTAAATAATGAAAATGTATTCTGTGAACTTCAATAAGAACAATAATATAAACTCATACATAGTTCATTCTGCAATGTCATTCGTTATTCGTGATAATCCGCTGCAATTTCAGATATGTTATTTGTTGTTAATGTCATATTCCAGTCGGATATACATTGGATCGCATTACCGTAACAGAGCTTGCTCATGAAAAAAAAAAACATAATTAGTGTCGGATCCGTTTTTGACGGGAGGTGCAAAGTGTAAAGTTTCTGCCGCTAATTATACGTAGGGTAGGTACTCGTCATTTTATTAGCCTAAAAATCACATTGTCTTGTTAGTTGTTACAATGGAGAATGATAATCCAGAATCTCCAACTGTTGGCACCGAAAAATCATCTCTTGAATTGCAATCATCGGAATCATGTGTTTTGAACACTCATATAAATAATTCTGAAAAGAGTGAATTGGAATTAGAGCCTGTGAATGCTGCTGATGAGGATGAAGATGATGCAAGTAATATTGAAGGAAGGTATCTAAGGACACTTCCAGTGTCCAAAGCTGAATGTGGATTTTTTAGTGGAACGCCTCCTCAGAGTCAGAAAGATGGCAAAATTAAAAATGAAATTAATGAACAAACCAGGTATGTCATTGCTCTTTTCATCTGTGATTAATGTATTTTTACCAATTCAAACTTCTTGCAGTTTTTAAATTTCATTTGACAAGTTGTTATGGCAATTATTGCATTGGCTTGACCAGGGGTAGCCTGGTAGGTATCCAATTCTGGGAATGACCTACCTAGCCTAATGCCTGTCACTGTCAGGCTGTCTGTGAGTGTGGTGTCCAGTGTCTGCTCTCTGCTGTTGCTTGAAAGATTATGCTTGACACCTTGACCTTGGGCTTGCTTGTTTGGGCCTTGCTGCCTTCAGTCTAATTAGCATAGCAGGATTGTAATGAACAATCTAAAATCAAATTTTCTTTCTAAAATCTCTTGGCTTTTAAGCTAGAATTTTTTTTCTGGATTTCTGAAGCATGAACAGTGAGGATTGAGGAACTTAGTGTTTAAAGTTGTAAATTTTGGTTTGGTTTAATTTGCACATTTGCAAATTTGTGATTCTGAGTTTCTGATGAAATTGATATTCTGCATCTTAATTAGGGTAAACACGGTATATTTTGACACATTAAGGACGTAGCAAGAAATGAATGGCTATAGATAAATCACCATATGCGCAACTCAAGTTCTGATTGGTTTATAATTCCACTGTGCAGAGAGTGGATGAATATTGCAAGATCTTTGGCAACGCTTCAGTAGCAAAATTTATGCCCGTCAGAAGATCTTGCCGACACATTTAGATTTAAATTCTTTCATTTAGCCTAATATATTTGTCAGTCTTCGGCCAACTATTTAAAAAAAGTAAGGTTGCCGGTGTGTTGGATTGATCAGTATGCAGTGAAGCTTGTCCGGAAATCAGTTGCGATGAGTTCCCAACTTCCCACCAAAAAAAATGTAAACATCAAGTTTACGATTACGTAGTTGCGGTCACATTAGAGTGGTCAGACTGCATTATCACATGTTCAGTAGTTGACACGCTGTACAATCGGATTGTTTTTAGGGTAAAATTAGTTATTTATTTGGGGTAACACGTGCATGCAACCTTGTAAATAAGTTGGTGGCTTGTAAATAGTTTTTCATTACTCAGCGTAAATGGCTTTTCATTAAAAATTACCCATAGGTCTTTAAATCTTCGTTCACTCTCTGCACAGTGGAGTGGATCATGGATGAATATTGCAAGATCTTTGGCAATGCTTCAGTAGAAAAATTTATGCCTTCAGAAGATCTTGCCGACACATTTAGATTTAAATTCTTTCATTTAATATATTTGCCAGTCTTCGGCCAACTATTAAAAAAAAGTAAGGTTGCCGCCTGCCGGTGTGTTGGATTGATCATTGATCAGTATGCAGTGAAGCTTGTCCGGAAATCAGTTGTGATGAGTTCCCAAATCCCAACTTCCCACCAAAAAAATGTAAACATCAAGTTTACGATTACGTAGTTGCGGTCACATTAGAGTGGTCAGACTGCATTATCACATGTTCAGTTGACACTTGCTGTACAATCGGACTGTTTTTAGGTTAAAATTAGTTATTTATTTGGGGTAACATGTGCATGCAACCTTGTAAATAAGTTGGTGGCTTGTAAATAGTTTTTCATTACTCAGCGTAAATGGCTTTTCATTAAAAATTACTCGGCGACACATCTTAAAATTACCCGGCAACGCTTGGGCTTAAAAACCCATATATTGGCGATGCTGCATCCATCCTCTGCACCATGGGTTTATATCACTCTCAAAACCTCACACTACATGCCCCTGCCAGCAACGATGAAATGTCACACCAGGGTGCAGAAAGTGGTGAATGCGTCGTCAATATAGACTTTTTCAAGGCAAAGCGTTGCCAGCAATATTCAACATGTGTCGCCACGTGGCCAGCTGTATCATCATCGTGTGCAAGATGGGTCGCCAGCAGTAGAACCTCGGATTGTCACACAGAGTGGAATTCTAAAATTGGTGGTTCACTTAAAAAAAAGCATTCCGCCTTTAAAAAAACATTCCAGGCACTAGAAACAGGTTTATAGGCTGTCAGAAATCAGCCTCGTAATTTGGCATGAACGTTTGGTACGTTACGTCAGGCAACACAGTGAAGGTCCCAAGATTGAATGCAATAACAAAACTTGCTACTTATGTATCCTCTGCGTGCTGATGAATGCTAAATTTTTAATCAATAATTCTTGAAAATAAAATAATGGTATTTTGCTTCTCATTGGTTCATAATATTTGATCAATATAACGTGGCAATTGTTTCTCAGTCTGAATAGAAAATTTATGTCATTGTGAAATGAAAGGAAGGGAATTTTTATTATCTAAGTAAAAAAAAACATAAAATGGTTTCTTAACACTGCCCACGGCAATAGTCTTTAATTATCTGGCAAACTGAAGCAACTTCGATTTACTTTCTGAACGATTTGGCTTGCCGGTATTTAGATCGATCATTTGGCTTGGGTGTGCCATTCTTTTATTAACCTGGGCCTCTGCTAAAAAATCCAATGACCTGCGCAGTCTGTAATCTGAAGTTCAAAAGATCTTTGCATCTCACAGGACACTGATGAAGGACCTGTCTCTTATACACATCTAGATGTGTATAAGAGACAGATGGCGTGTTCATGGATATGGTAATATCACATCAATAATACGGTAATGCATGGATTTGGTAAATATCATATCAATAATAAATTTGAAAAGGACAGAAATTTAGTAGAGAGTGTTCAAAGACGCGCAACAAGGATAGTTCCAGGCTTGAAAGGCAAGTCCTATGAGGAAAGATTAAATATTATGAAGCTTCCAAGCCTCCATTATCGACGTCTGCGTGGGGACCTCATTGAAGTATATTTTGCCTTCTAAATTGTCAGGACATTGATAACAGAGAGATAAAAAAACAAGAAAACTTAAAAGCGGATATATTTTTAAAAAACTTAAAAGAAGCTCGTGAAGTGTACTCATGGCTTATACAAGGTCCCAGAAGGATTACTAGAATTTAAACAAGAACCAACACCAGGGACCATGACTGTAAACTAAAAAACAGCGTTGGAACACATCCTTGCGACAACATTTCTTTTTGCTTTGAGTCACCGACATATGTAACAGCCTCCCTGATAGCATCGTTGACGCTCCGAGTATGAACATCTTCAAAAACAGACTAGACGAAGCAGGAGCATATGTTCAGTCTTAAAATGCCTAGCAAATTAGGACCAGGCAATAAGTCCAGCAGCTATCTCAATCAATCGTCAGATATGGAAAGATCGGGTTCCAAAGGCCAGATCCCTTGTGAATCAAGTCACGAAAAGTTCAAGAATCGGCAACAGGCCATGGGCCTATTTCTTCAACGCCGACACTTCTATTC